GAAGGGCGGTGCGGAGCGCCCACACCAGCAGACCCTCTCCCACCGCCGGCAAGGGAACTGGGGTGTGCAAACAGCAGTTCCCTGCCTCAGCCCCCACCCTTCCAGCCTGCAGCAAGCGAGCCCCAGCTCATTTTCAGACGTGGGGACAAACAGCCAGGTTTGTTTTTCCTTCCTCCCACAGCCACAGGTGTGCTGGCTTGCAGGCTCACAGCCGCCCTCTAACACCAACCCTGACAGCACTGCAGGAAAGAACCAAATTCTTCTACATCCAAGAGGAGATAATCTTTGAACACAAGGACAGGTGGTGCTTCTTACGCTCAGTTAAGCGGTGTCTATGTGCACCTGAAGATGATTATGGAAGCTACAGAATATGGGAAAGCAAAGGTAACAGTTTTTCCCCTTAAATACTTCCTAAGGAGAATTCTCAGCACAAAGACACCCAAGGAGGAAGAACATCAAGCAGAGAGGAAAGCTGTGATTACTCACTATCTGCAACACAAGAATGAAAATAAAAGGTCGAGAACAGGTTCCAGCAGCGGGCAGCAGTTCTTCGCACAGCGCAGCCTCTGAAGCTCATTCCCACACGTTATCATGGAGGAAAAGAGCTCACTGAGTTCAGCGAGTAACTGCCAAGTTTATGGAGGAAAATCATCACTATTAAACAAATATCACCCAAGCAGCCGCTCACTGGAGCCTAAGAGCTAATCCTGAGGTTCTGCTGCTCTTCCCTAGGCAGCCCACCAGCCACCTTCAGGCTGACTCAGTACCACCATTCCCAACGCCGAGAATCACTTACTCTACACAAGTCCAGGAGTTTTTTTTTCCAGGGAGAAACCCTACAAAGAGCAAGTCACCCCTCCAAGCAGCAGCACGGGCAGCCCGCCAAGTCAGACCCCCAGCTGAGCTCCCGACCCTCGCGGTGCTGGAGCTCCAGGGCTGCTCACTGCGCTGCTCTTCTCGTACAGGAAGACTCCAGAGTTACACACAGGCCTGCGAAGTGCCAGTGCTCCCAGTTTAGAGCCACTGCCTTAAAGGAGTTTAGAAACAGGCTTCCAAGGCACCCTGTCATCGCTTGCAACACTTGAACTACCATCACATGACAAGCAGAGAGCCAAGTCGTCTGCGAAGCCTCTCAGAAGGCCGGCCCCAGCCTCCTCCTCCCAGCGCCTCCGAGCCAGCCTGCCAGATCGCATCTCACAGAG